GTATAAAAAGAATAGCGTCCGTTGAATTTTGAGTTTTTGTTTTCATATACAGCATGTTGTCAAGTTCGTTAGTCGTCAGATGTGATGCACTTTTCTGGGTTTAATTTTTTTTTGGGAGTAAATAATGGTTCTGTGGACAGGGAAGGAATATAAGTTCTGCCAATAATTCTGCAGAGGTATATCATAGCCCTCATTAAGCAGAGCCATTACGAACCTGCTAGTGCACAGTGCCACAAGACAGGATGAAAAACTGGCTCGCTGTACTTCCATTCCTCTGGTCTTGGTGAACAATACAGCTCATCTTGCTGAATATTATTTCTACAGCCCGTAATAAAGAGGCTGTATATTCATGCTGTGCCATTGCTGTCCAGTAATAACAGGGCAGACTAATGAACTCCTCTGAACACAAAGTTGAATAATTGTGACTATAGATAGCAGAAAAGCTTTTTTATGCAACTTAGTGAGGTGTTCTTCTCCTCTTACCATTGCTACTCCAAGGTCAACTATACCATATCCCATGGAATCCACAGCTTTGAAGACAAAACTATTTTTAGTCAATTTTAAACGATCAAGTTATTTTAAATCTATGATCAATTAACCAATAGTTACAAAAGGTCAGTTGAAAAAGGGCAGAGTGCAATTGTATAATCCTGACATGATTTCATATCAAAATCTGATTGTTATACAGTTATACTGTTGAATGTTCTGCAAGGTTCACTGTGACAAAGTCTGACACAGAAACCAGCTGCTGCCATTGAACTATTGATGAGACCTGATCTGACCTTTAATTGTGGAGGAACTTTGCATCACCTTCTCACTGGGAAGATGACTGCTGTGCAGGGATCACTTGTCAGAGCTGTCAGGAAAGTTAATGCAAACAGTGGTAATAAAAAGCCGAGTAGAGTATCACAAATAACAAGCAGGTTCTGTGAACAAAAAGTAAAGTAGGTAACCTCATAACTTTTGTAGTTCACCGTCATCATGGAACCAGTGTTGCTCTTGTTGTGTTTGATGTTTATTTAGACAGAAAGTTGTTTTTATTAAAGGAATCATATGGATGTGACTTTATAAGCACAGGAATCTAAGTAGAAAAACAAATGTTGTCAAAAGCTGTGTGTAGGTTAAATAAGAAATGAATACATGAATGTTTAGCTTTGAAGCCAGTGAAAATAAAGAGTTACATTTTCTTTAGTTAAACATTTTACAGTTAATCAATTAATCCCACTTTGGAACTAAAAATACATTTACATAAAAAAGATTGAGAGACCATCATCACTTTACAACTCTCGCTCAATATTTGTTGATACTAGTTAATTGGAAGACTGAGCCAGAGGGGTTACTCATCAGGAAGTTAAAATAATCTACAGCCAGCTCAAAAACGACAATAAGGAGATACACAGTCAATTGGTGGACAGAATGACTGATGAGTCATTTGAGAAGACAATAGTTCATCCACATGTAGGTTCTTTAAATTTGATTAATTTTATGTTCTCGTGATAAATCTTTTTGAAACATAACACTGTGCTTTTGGACTTAATTCAAAATAAATGAATACAGTTGGTAGATAAAAGGATCTAAGGCAATTCACGACCATACAAGAAACTCAAATAATAAAAACATGAGTTGGGCATCCAGGTAAAGCAAATACTTTTTACTATATTACTATATTTACTATATTTTAATAATATTTTATCTATGACAAGCCACAGCTTAATTCTGCTTTCCATTATGGTGAACAGGGAATACAATTTGATGAAAGAGAGTCTTAATAAAATGTTGGGATAACCTAGCTTTACGTAGTGCCTT